TTTGCAAGATTGCATCAAAATTGGACCATCGATGATTGGAAACGAGTTCTTTTCTTCGATGAGATTAGAGTAAGTCTAAAAGCTGAGCGTGTCTGGCGAAGGCGATGAGAAAGGTTTGCCAGATGTCCTAAAGTACCTTTTGGTGGTAGCTCTAAAATGTTTTGGGGGGGAATTTGTTTTGAAGCTCTTACGGAGTTGGTTCCATACGTACGAGGTCTATGAATGCCCATTATTACTTAGAAAACATTATTGTCGAACATGTAATGCCGAGCAACGCTCGTCCTCATGTTTCTCGACAGAATATTGGCTACCTAAATGATATTGATATTCCATTATTAGAGTGGCCACCTAACAGTCCGGACATGAATCCTATAGACCATCTATGGGACTATCTCAAAAAAAAATATTCGAAGTTATAGACCCTTTATTGCCAATCACAACCAACTCATTGAGGCCGTTATTGAAGAATGGGAGAATAATCCGCAGATGCATTGTATTGTGTTACTTTACTGATTTTTTTTCTTTTTACAATTTGGAGTTATGCTAGCTTATTTACGCATTTCCGGCAAAAACAAATTTTTAAAGAAACAATAAGGCAAATTAAGGTCATGATAAAGTCATGTTGAACTTATTTGTAGGTGTTTGTTATTATTTCAATGTAACTTAGTTTTATTTTGTGTTCATATTGTAAATATTTGGATTAATTAAAGTGGTGTGTTAATTTGGTCCAGAAGTTTATATATACCGACATAAATTATCTGTACAAATTTGATCCATGATCCATAAGATTTATTATTCGTTTAACTATTGCCACAGTTACAACATATTAACAGTTTAACTATTGCCTCCACCCCAGACTGGATACTCTTACTTTACTTCTCCATTACATCTTTTTTATATGGCGAAATTCATTATTATAACGATGCGATTAAAGGAACTCAATATATCTATGACGGATATAATAGTTTTGCACAAACAAAAAAAAATAGTACTAATAATTTATCTTTAAAGTTTAAAACAGAACACGTGCGTTTAACAAATGTTGGATTTCAATTTCAAATAATATTGTCATATATTGCATGTACACCCATCATTCCATTCAATGATATACCTATAAATGTACCAGAGAACAACACTATGAGTCATTTTCGACGAAAGTGTACACGAATCTGGAATACCAAGAACAATAAGTGCGATTTTGTCGAAACTGCCGGTCCTCGTAAGCACAGTAATATTTCTAAATAAGGATGTATATGTTGCAAATAAATGCAGGGAAATATAAATATTTTTGTTTCATGAGGATATCATGGTTTATAACGCCTATACAGGGCGGAACAACTACAATTTCCTTTATAACCGTATGATATTTAGACTAAATAGAAGAATATTGAAGAAGAAGAAAGGAAGAAAATATTTAAATAAAAGAAAGAACTACAAAGACACGGTATAATAAAGAAAACATTTAAAATTCTTCAAACAATTGGAGACGATTTATCAGACCAATTTGGAGACGATCTCAATGGAGTCTTTTTTTTCTCGGAAGCTATTTGTTGTTCCAGTCGCACTGTAGCCAATTTGCGTATTGTAGATCTTTCATTCGTGTAACCTTCTGGCCCAGGGTAGCTGGAGACCGACGGCTTTACTTTCTCTCTGAAGCACAGTGATGACTCAGTTAAATAAGAAATTATCAATCAAAAGACTGATATTTTTTTGTACACACTTATGACAAGTCGAAAGAAAATGCAAAAAAATGCAAAAAAGTATTTTTGAAGTGTGTATATTTTAGGCAATTCCTAGCTGAGCGCTTTCGGCTTTACAAAGCCATCATCAGAGCTATGGTCAATTTTTTTAAATACCACTACAAATGAGAGATCTCATTTCCTTAAATTTCAAAATTATGATTTTGTAGGTGTTGAAATTCTTAAAACATATAAAACATATAAAAAACCGACACTGGACTTAACAAACACGTTAAAAAATTGAAAAAATTTTTGTCATGGTACGGGTTTTAGAACCCGACCATTGATTGATGTGAGGACGTAGACTGAATAGAACAGTTCTAGAATAGTTGTATTCTAGTGGTATATATAGTGGTACTATATAGTAGTATTTAAAAAAAAAAAAAAAAAAAAAAAATTGACCATAGCTCTGATGATGGCTTTGTAAAGCCGAAAGCGCTCAGCTAGGAATTGCCTAAAATATACACACTTCAAAAATACTTTTTTGCATTTTTTTGCATTTTCTTTCGAAATAAGAAATTGAAAAATTTCTGGTATCCGCCGGAATTTAATCTGGGCCTTCTGAGTACCTAGCCACTAAGCTATGGCCGTTAAATTGTTGGCATAGGCCGTTAGCTATGGAGTTAATAAGTCTCCAGAAGTACTTTTCAAAATAAAGACGAAATATTTATATCTCAATTTTGGACTTATACCATGCGGTCCATATTGGAATAAATTCGTTTGTAACGTTATTATGTACTATGTGAAAAAAATTTAAAACAGGTCGATTTTTATTCTTAAATTGACAATTTACAGTATGAAAATATTATCCCTCACCAGCACTCCCTTTGAATTATAAGCACCCCCTCGAAAAAGTTAAATAACAAAGGGGATCGTGTGGCACCTTGTTAGAAAGGGATTTTAGTCCTCTATTCAGTAATTTTGGGTTTGCGCAATCATAACTGAGAAAATTAATTTTTAGAATTAAATTAAATGTTCAACATGACCACCATTATTCACTTCTTGACAATAATCGAAAAAGAGGCAGACCTGGATGACAAAGACCTCAGAATAATTTCAGAACTCTACTGGAATCAGACCGCATACATGAAAATTAACGGAGAAGAAACATATCACATAAAAATACTACGTGGAGTAAGACAGGGATGTATTCTATCGCCTTTGATATTTAATATGTACTCAGAGAAAATTTTTAACGAGGCTCTTTACGGTATAGACGAAGGCATCCTTCTAAATGGTGAAAGAGTAAACAATGTTAGATATGCCGACGACACCATAGTGATAGCAGATAAGTTAGAGGGACTTCAGAGGCTAATGGACAGAATAAACGAGTATAGTCAACAGTACGGACTAAACATTAATACCCACAAAACGAAAGAAATGATTATCAGCAAGGAGAATATAAACGGGGCTCATCTATACATTAATGGGACGCAGATAGAGCGAATAAAACAGTATTGCTATCTGGAAACTATTATAAACGAACAGTGGAGCAATGTACAGGAAATAAAGTGCCACCTAAGAAAGACAAGAACGGTCTTTAACAAAACGAGCGCCATCTTCAAAAGTCACAACATATCCCTAGATACAAAAGACATTGAGACATGACATGAGACATTTGAGATGCTATGTTTTCTCTGTGTTGTTGTACGGAGCGGAGGCATGGACGCTTACAGACACCACTATTAAAAAACTTTAAGCATTTGAGATGTGGCTTTATAGAAGAATGTTAAGAATATCATGGACAGCAAGGATCACAAACAAGGAAGTTCTAGGAAAAATAAAGAAGGAACCAGAGATTGTGTTTGCGATCAAACGCATAAAATTGCAATATCTGGGACACGTTATGAGAAATCAGCACCGTTACTCCCTGCTGCAGTCTATATTGCAAGGTAAAGTCAAAGGTAAGTGAGGACCCGGTAGAAGGAGAATATCATGGCTGCGGAATTTAAGAACATGGTTTAAGAAAACCTCAACGGAGCTGTTTCGAGCCGCAGCGAGCAAGGTTATGATTGCCAATATGATTTCCAACAACCAGAAGAAGAATAAGTTAGAAATTATTTAAAAGAGGTTTTTCCCAATAGGTGTATTGGAAGACGTGAAACGATTGAGTGGCCGGCTAGATTCCCCGATTTGACTCCTCTCGATTACTTCTTACGTGGTTATTTAAAATCTAAAGTATATTTTAATAGAATAAATAGTATTTCTGATTTAAAAGTTAGGATAACGGAAGAAATTAACAAAATAACCCCCGAGGTCGTACAAAATATTGTACGAGAATTCCAAAATCTCTCAAAAAAGTGAATGTTGGCCATTTTGAACATTTAATTTAATTGTTTGTAATGTATTTTTACATTGAAAAATAAATATAAATGTGACATTATAATGTGACATTATTATCTTCATTCAACCTAGTTTTGTGATGAAGGATTATCAAAATTTTACACCTTGAAAATCAATTTTTTCAGTTATGATTGCACCAAACTTAAAACACTTTATATTGCTTAACAGAGGACTAAAATCCCTTTCTAACAAGGTGCCATACGACCCCCTTTGTTATTTAAAAATTTCGTACTTATATCTAATTCAAAGGGGTGTTGGAGGGGTGTAATATTTTCATACTATAAATTGTCAATTTAAGAATAAAAATCAGTCTGTGTCAGGTTTTTTCACATAGTATATTATAATAACGCAAAAAATGAATTTATTCCATACATATGGACCGCATGGTATATGTTTTCTGTGTAAAATAATGTGAATTAGGTTAACGTTAAGTAGATAGTGCGCAGGAGCTCCAAAGGATGATGGATAACGTTATAGAAGCATGTCACAAATACGGCCTACAACTAAATTGCAAGAAGACAAAAATAATAATCATTAGTAAGAACACCAGCATAAACGCCCAAATTACAATTAACGTTACACCGTTAGAAAGAGTGGGAAAACTATGCTGTTTGGGCTGCAATATTGAGGATACCTGGGATCACAGCTACGAAATAAAAACTTGTATTAAAAAAGCCAGAAGCTCTTTCAACAGCCTTAGGAAGATTCTCTGAAACTTATCTTTAAGTATCAATATACGCATAATTCTTAGATGTTACGTCTTTACTGTCCTCCTCTATGGAGTAGAAAGCTGGAACCTTACAGAAGATACCATAAAACATTTGGATGTATTTGAGATGTGGTGCTACCGATGTATGTTGAGGGTCTCATATATACACCACACATTCAGTTAAGTTAATTTTGAACACTGGTGAATGGCTAAAATGCGACGAATACATGGCTAAATAAATTATTCTCAGCAGTGTCATTATTTAAACATTGCAGCTTTTTCCAAAGCTGTTGTCGTCTGTCGTCAAAAACTTTTTCTTCTTCCAGCCGTTTGCGTTCTTCTTGCTCCAAACGGATCTCATCTTCGAATTTGCTCTTCTTCGCTAATTCAACAATCTTAGCTTCGAAAAATTCTTTGGCTCCATTTACTCCAACCTTATCAACATCGATCTCTGTCGACTTTGCCAGTTGTGCCAAACCTGAATCTTCCTCTAATTCTCCAGCACGAGCCTTGCGAAATACCAACATGAATTCGTGGAAGGACAAACGACCATCTCCGTCTTCATCGACCTCCTTAATCATCGCCTTCAGACCTAAATGAGTTTGTGGTGCTCCTAATACTTCCATCAGAAGATTCAGGTTTGGCACAACTGGCAAAGTTGACAGAGATCGATGTTGATAAGGTTGGAGTAAATGGAGCCAAAGAATTTTTCGAAGCTAAGATTGTTGAATTAGCGAAGAAGAGCAAATTCGAAGATGAGATCCGTTTGGAGCAAGAAGAACGCAAACGGCTGGAAGAAGAAAAAGCAACCAGACGACAACAGTTTTTGGAAAAAGCTGCAATGTTTAAATAATGACACTGCTGAGAATAATTTATTTAGCCATGTATTCGTCGCATTTTAGCCATTCACCAGTGTTCAAAATTAACTGAACTGAATATTATATGATCTAGGAAAGTATTCTTCACTATATTATGTTCCTTGATTTTTTGTATGATAAGACATGTATACGTGTATACAGAACTGAAAAGCATATACAGAACTTAATCAAATTCAACGTTAACATACAAAAATAACAAAAAATCGAATAGGGTTTCCAGTTTACCTACTAGAAAATTGTTACATGTAATTCCTTTAAAAATACACCACACAAGTAACATAACTATTCTCCAGAGGCTAAGACAAGTCAAAGAAATTATTAACACCATAAAAAACCGAAAATTGGCTTACTTCGGCCACATCGTGCGTAATGTTAAATACTGACTTCTACAGTTGATTCTACAGGGCAAGATTGAGGGTAAGAGAGGCCCCTGTACGTAGGCGTATATACTGGCTGGTCAATCTTAGGAAATGGACTGGTCTAACGTCAACTGATCTATTTCGAGCTGGTGTGAATAGAATAAGATGGGTCAATGTGGTCGCCAACATCTCTAGAAGATAGGCATATTTAGAAGAAAGTTAACGTTAATCGGAGTAAATAACAAAGGATGGAAAATAGAACATGATAAATTTCATTATTAGTTGAATCAGCTTTGGAGCTTTGAATTAAATTAAAACTAATTTTATGTCAAGTAAACGTCTGGAATGACGTTGAAAATATATTCATGTCTACCGTATTGGTATGAAAAATTTAAATACCAAATAGTAAGACAGAATAATTTAATTAAAATTCAAAATTTTACAGGAATGCAACATAGCTATATCTTTACTTTTCGTTTTCGAAACTCCTTATACCCTTCACAGGTGTAGTGGATATAGATCTTGTTCTTAATTCTCTTTTATCTCTCTATGTAAGTCATCTTCTCTTTCATTTCTTTTACTTGTGAATTTCTTTTGCTTTTCTGTTTTGTCACTATGTATATCTAAACTGTGACATTTTTTATATGTTGCAGAGACTTTCCTGTTTCTAGACAAATTGGTTATATTTTTTCACAATAATGTTAATAAACTTTGTCTTAAAAAATTAGAAAAGCATCCTAATCCTTTATTAAATATGGTAAAACAATAATAAAAAAGATTTTGAAGTCTATTGAACACTGAACATTGAACAAGTTTTTTTTCTTTTGTTTATTATCATAGCAAATTTACGGTCACGTGGCTTAAAATTAGTGAACTCTTCCTGGAAGCCTCTGAATAATTTCTCAAAATCAAAATGTTTCTATTGCAGCCAATATGGACAGTAGCTTAACAATAAGTAAACTTTTGTTTTAACAAATACAGTTGAATTTAAAAATGTAAAGAATCTTTACGAAATCAGTAAGTTTATTATAAATATTGCTTCAGAAATGAATCAGACTCGATCGCCCCATTTTTCTTGACAAGCTCGTCGTATACGGACATATATTATAATTGGTCAGTTTTTCACAGAATAAAAATATTGATTACAAACCCACAGTTTTCGTTTATACGACAAAAGTCGGTTCTGTTTTATCTTGTGTCTTTAATTTTCTTCTATTTGATCTTTTAATCTGTATCGGGAATACATCAGTCTTCGGTTTCCAAAAGATACATTAAAACGTCGCATTGTATATCCATTCAATTGGGATCATATATATGCTTTTTGTTAAGCAAAGAATTTAACGGAACGATCTTAACTCTATCGGAAGGTTCTTTAAAATGCCATGGGTGGACCATATTATAAATGTAGAGGTCTTAAGAAGAACTAATACTCAAAGAGAGCTTCTAAACACCATTAAACAGCGAAAGAACTAATTTCTAGGCATAATTCCATATTTTAAGAGGCGACAAATATAATCTTTTTTAAAAATCACCTTAATGGGCAAAATTAAAGGTCGGAGAGGACCAGCTCGCAAACGACACTCATGGTTCGGAGACATAATAAACTGATGCGACATACCTGATGTCAATACAATAATAAGAAGAGCAGAAGAAGGATCCTTACGCATAATCCAATCAGCATGAACGCTTACAGATTGCATGAACGTATGGCACCAGAAGAAGAAGAAAGCGGTCTCAACTCAGGAAACGAGAACAAGAGTACCTAATAGATACATTATGTACCAACCAGATGTAAATTAGAAATCGATGGCGTCAACATTAAACAAGAAGTGGAAATACCATCCACTGTCGAGCTATGGCTATGGAAAAGGGAAAACTGGAAAGAGAAGTAAGGGATCAATGGAAGCCTGAAGATAGATGAGCGAGGTTCTGTTGAGCAGGGCGAGCAACATAAGCATGACACAAATATGATATAAAAGCCTTCTACAAAAACAGCAAGAAGACTAACTCCAGCTGAACAACTGAAAATAAAGTGGATGGACAACTTGGGGCAAGATCTGATCCAGTTGGTTGTCCGCGGTTATAATAATATCCTATACGTCATAATTCGGCTTTATTAAAGCCGAATTATGAAACCGGAACCCGGCCAAAGTTTGTCAGAAAACATTCTTATATTGAAGACAGAAAAAAAATGTTTACTGACGGAACTAAAGTTAATTTAAAATTTCCTGATGACGATAGGCGATGGGCTCAACATATAACAACTTTTATCAACTAGTGCGTTAATGTAGTCCAGGAGTTTATGAAAACAATAGATAAAGAAAAAAAGCAAACTCCGATCTAATGTTTAGCAGAACACAATTTTATAAAAAAAATATTAGGCGTAATTTTTTATATTGTAGGTTGTTTGTAGTCTATTACTAACTTTTATGTTTTATAACAACAATTTCGAGTGTAGTTTATACCTATAACAATACGTTTTGTTTTTTATAATCTTATAAATTGTCTTAAGATTGCGAACTTCAAAAAGTAGCACACACATGACGAACGACGTTTTTTGCGTGAATCACCATAGACGGTAACCGGTCGGCCGATTATTGTAGTAATTTTTAACCGATTTGCACAAAACGCAAGACTCCCGATAAGGTATAGATGGATATTTATGTAGACATAACGACAGATGTTCTGATTTCCCTTGTTCGATTAAATCATTGCGAATTAACACATTCAATCCGGCCGTCATGACAATACAGAGTGAACAAACATTAATATCAACTATCAATATTTACTATATACACTAAAATATCTAACTAATAAAATATTACACTGGACAAAAAACATAGATACCTGATTCTGGCTATCGTATTCATTAATGTTAATATCTGTCCTAAACAAATACGCTTGTTGCAACTTTTATTTTTATAAAATAGTCCTAAAATACGTAACGTAAATAAGTGACATTGTAGACCTTTTGTTAACGGACAACGGACCGTTTTTTTCAACGAACTCAGCTTATCATGAAAAAGTGTAAAGCTCAACTTAGCTTATCATGAAAAAGTGTACATGAATCGAATTCCGGTCCGACGAGCAATCTTCGATGGATGCACATGTATTGCCCCCCGGCTCAATCAACATCGACCCGTTGTAAAAAAAGCAGAAAGCAGTGTCAATAGTATATCAAGGAGTGTTGACGCTACCGGGCGTTCGTCAATTTAATAGACATTTAATCAAATAAAAGCCAGATATCGAGCACAGTTTTTTAATAAATCTTGACCAAGTACTTTCGCTCTCCGAGCATCATCAGGGACATTTCGTCAAAATTATAGGATATCCAACAATTTGGTGAATGTCATAAACATTAAATAATACATTTACACAACACTAGACAAAAGACAAACAGTTTAATTTTTTTTAATTTGAAGAAGTGACAGCAGGAGAGAGAATCTGAAGATACTCTGAGGGCGAAGGTACTTGGGCAAGATTTAATAAAAAACTGTGATCGATATGTGCCTTTTATTTGATTAAAGTTTAATTATTCGATCATTCAACTATATATCGCTTTAATAGAAATTGACTGCCGTTTGCCTAAAGGCGGAATCAGACAGCTCGTGAAAAGGCGCTCTTCGCTGGTTCACTTCGGCAAAGAGGAACAGAAAATATATTCAGGAAAAAAGAGAGTCACCACGGATGGCACATCATGTTAGTGTGAAATTGATAAATATTCACTTTTTAATAACTACCGAAATGAAGCGGGTCCCGTCGAAATAAGCGTTTAAGCTAGTTTTGTCTACCAGTGTTGCTAGTAAAAATTTTACTAAGCTATGTGATTTATACAATGATAAGAATTCCAACACATTTTCGTTAGACCAATCTATAGTAAAGGTGTGTGAAGGGGTAGTGAAGCACAATACATGATGCCGTATCCTGTTAGCATCACTCAGCCTCTCCTACTCAATTCCTATCTTCACCTCCAAGTTGGTACACACCGGTAACCTGAGCAACCCTACTGGAAATTTGGGTAACCAACCCCAACGTAAAGTGGGGTCAGGACTGACGAAGAAAGTAGCCTTGGTCCTCCGATGAATAGGGGTTGAATAAGGGCTAACAACCCTGTCCTGTAAACTCAATTGTTGCGAATACAATGGATAATGAAACAAACGGACGGATCTCACAACGACGAACTCAGCAAAGAAAAATGGTAATGATTCTGGATTTAAAATTTGAAACCTGGAATATGCGAACCCTCTTAAAGGCAGGAGCTATGATAAGTATGGTAAAAGAAATTGAAAAATACGGGGTTGAAATATTGGCACTGCAAGAAATCAGATGGAGGAGCCAGGAAGAAATTCGTAAAAATAAGTTCTCATTATACCACTCCGGAAAGGTAAT